ATCAATTGCGTTCTCTTCGACTAAAATATTTCAGATATCTAGCACTTCCGGTTATGCCGGAAGTCGCCATCTACTTTATTTTTTTAAATGGAACATCCTGTATATTTTTACATATTTTTTCTGTTTTCAAGGTTTATGAATAACTTTACTTTTTGCAATTTGATTCGGCCGTTCTCGAGTTATTCGTATTTTTCTAGAAAAATTGTTGTGGTGTTTATGTATTATCGGAGGATCAGTAAGGGAAAAATAAACAGTTTAACATTTGCTAAAGCTATGGTTTATTTCTGTTGGTGTGATGACTAGGTTACTTTTTGTAGTGATTTGTTCTCAAGAAATGCCACGTTTGGAATTTAGTAATTAACCTCCTCAAATAACTCCTTTTTTTCCAATTTTCTAACAGCAAAAATGTGTTTACAGGGTAGGAACATTGATGTAAAGTTGATGCAAATACATCGAATTGTTTCCATTTAATTCCACTCCATATACCTAAGTATATGTATCTTGTAAGCTTTCAAAGTCACTTTTACTTCTTTTGAGGCTACAATTTGAAACTGGATATATCGGCTGGCATAAGGTGTTAGATATTCTTCATACTTAAATTCGCAACTATCTTTACTAAACAACGTAATAAGCCTTGTTAATATTAATCGAGCTGTTCGGTTGTTTCTTTCATGTTCGTGAGAATACAAAAAAATAAAAAAAATCTTTCACAAATTACAAGAAACTGCTGTTTTTCGTTACTACTTGCTTTATTTTAGCATTCATTGATTCTAACATGTTTGTTATATTTAACAAATTACCGTGGCACATACTATAAACAGTCTATTCATGTCTTATATTATGCCAGTTTTTGTTGTAGTAGTTAATTAATGATTGTGAATCGATCTCCTGCAGTAATTGATACATTTTCTCGTATTCTTCTTCACTTTGGCTGTAAGCAAGCCTTTCCAATAGTTTTAGAGCGTCAATTCTTTCCTGATTTGTGATATGCATTTTTTCTTTAGATACTTCTCTCTCCATTGTCTTTAGTATGGAACAAACAAATATATACTTAGGCTTGAGGAAAACTGTCTTTTATCACATTTCTTTGTAGTAGATCCTTATCACCCATGAAACATTTTATTTAATTTTCACAATCAGAATTCTCTTCTTTAAAGGTGTTCAACAACCAAGAAAATGTTTCTTTGTCCTCGTGCGCTGTTATAACAACTACTACTATTTCACTTTGACCATTTGAATCCTCTACAATCATTATAAATACTGTAAATCCTATATTTAATAACTTGTAAGTACCATCTATTGACACAAATTCTGGCCATAATGTCATTGCTCTTCTCATGGACTCAGTTGAAAAGTAGAGGACTTTAAAATGATTTTCAGAATCACGTAAGATGTATATGTTACATTATGCAAAAAAGTGGTTTACAACAATTTTATTGCATTGTTACTATTCTACGTTATACTTCTAATAGTTATCTATATACTCACTGTGAATGTCTTTCAATTCCTTCACAACATGTATCAAATCGTTGCTAACGTTTTTCATACTATATGAAATATTTGATAAATCTTTTAATGTACTTAATTTTCCAGTTATATTCAATATTTCTTGCTGAATCAGCTTTTTATTTCCACAAACATGCAACAAACCCTCGACCATACATTTTTTATCAGAAGTTAATTTACGATTAGATGGTAAATGATTAAACACCACCTAAAAGTGATGGGTGTATAAGCAACATGGTTAGATAATATGGAAATATTGAATACACTATAAAATATACATAATCATACCTACTTACTGATGACATATCATGATTTTCATGTTTCCCTAATAATTGTTTAATTTGTAGGCATTCATCACCTTCTTTAGTAACTCGAATTTTAATGATAGCAGGACAATTCATCAAAGTACTAAAACATTCATATAAATAATGGATATTTAATAATTGTGTTATATCAAACGCCGTTGACGACATGATAAATACATATTTTTATTTAATTATTATACATACCTTGTTTCTAATGATTTTTAATATGTATGCATGTTGATTTTAATGATTTTTAATATGTAAGTTGATTCTAATGATTTTTAACATGTAAGTTGATTCAAATGATTGTCAATATGTAAGTTGATTCTAATGATTTTCAATATGTAAGTTGATTCTAATGATTTTTAATATATAAGTTGATTCTAATGCTGCTAATAACTATGCCAGGGGTCGTTATTCAATTGGAAAGGGAATTGTCAATATGGTTTTAAACAGGGTTCGTAAATTGGCTGATCATTGTTCCGGTCTTTAATGTTTCTTAATTTTCCATTCATTTCCAATTTTCCATTCACATCCCTGTTCATGGAACGTTTGTCTGTTGATTATGGAAACAGATCAATTCAGGAATTTGCGATCTACCCAGCTTCACAGGTTTCCACAGCAGTCGTTGAGCCATACAATTCCATTTTAACCACCCATACCACTTTAGAACACTCCGATTGTGCTTTCAAATTGGAAAATGTTTGTTGTAGGCTGATCAAGGGTTAACATCTGTTCAGTTGTGAGAATTTACGAAAAATTCACCTGGTAAACGTAACGGTTGACCGTAAATCAGTTCTGCTGAAGAACAACCTAAATCTTCTTTCAATGAAGACCTTAGACCTAATAATATTATAGGAAGATCTTGTTTCCACCTATCAGTTTTACACCTAGCAATAATGGCAGTTTTCAAAGTTCTGTGAAATCTCTCTAAGATGCCATTACTTTGAGGATGGTAACAGGAAGTGTGGATTTGTTTTGAGCTGAACAATCGATTAAATTTTGCAAAAAGTTGTGATTCAAGTTGTCTGCCGTGATCGTGCGTAATCGTGTGTGGTATACCAAACCTTGAAATGTAATGCGTCAACAGAGTAGTCGCAACAGTAGAACTTGACGTATGTATTTTTGAGAGGATAAACTTCTAGCCACTTTGTAAAACGGTCAATGACTGTAAGAACAAAAGAATAACCAAGCGAAGGCATAAGGGGGCCTACAAAGTCAATGTGGATATGTTCAAAACGTCCAGAACTAATATCAAATTTATTGAGTGGAGATTTTGTAAAGATTATGAGAATTTTGGAAAATTGTAAAACAATATTCAACAGGTTTATCATTATTATTCAACAAGTAATCGGACGACGCCCGAGGTTATCCTTTAACCTTTACGCGGCAAACGATTCGGTGATCGCGACCTATGGATACGAGACCCTTACTCTCGACCTAGGACTTCGCCGCGATTTCACGTGTCGCTTTATTGTCGCCGACGTGTCGAAACCCATCATCGGAGTCGACTTCCTGGACCGCTACGACTTGCTGGTCGACGTGCGCAATTGACGGCTGGTGGACAGCATAACATCGCTGAAAGTCCAGGGACGCGAAACGGCTGGCGAAGGGGCTCACATCCGGGTTGTGGCGGGCGGATTCATTTTTCACAATCTCCTCGCCGAATATAACCCGAAACACGGAGTAGAACACCATATGCACACGACCCCTGGACAATCGGTCGCGAGCCGATTTCGACGCCTAAACCCCCAAAGGTACGAGGCTGCCAAAAAGGGAGTTCGATATCATGCTGCAGATGAAGATAATCCGTCCATCCAAAAGTAGTTGGTCATCGCCCCTGCACATGGTCTCCAAGAAAGGCGACCATTGGAGGCCCTGCGGAGATTACCGCGCATTAAACGCGAGAACGGTGCCGGACAAATATCCGATACCTCACATGCAGGACTTCTCGCAGTCCCTACATTGGAAGAAAAACTTCACCACCATAAACCTGGTGCGTGCCTACAACCAAATTCCGGTCGCCAAGGAAGATATCCCTAAAACGGCGATAAGCACACCCTACGGCTTCTCGAATTCACGTTCATGTCCTTTGGTCTTCGCAACGCGGCACAAACCTGCCAGGGACTAATGGACGAAGTTCTACATGGTCTGGATTTCGCCTACGTGTATATCGACGATATCCCCATCGCCTCGGCCTCGGAAGAAGAGCACCTGGAACACCTGAAGCAGATTTTTCAGCGCTTAAAGGAATACGGAATCCTGATAAACCCTTTGAAGTGCGTTTTCGGGAAACCGCAAGTAAATTTCCTGGGATTTAGCGTCGCCTGCGGAGGGGTAAAACCTTTACCTGAAAGGATCCAGGCCATCAAGTGCCCGCACCCGTGACCTAAGACGGCAAAGGAACTGCGGAGATTCATAGGAGCATTCAACTTCTCGAGGCAGGCAGTACCGAGAGCGGCCGAACTACAATCGCCCCTGAACGATTTGTTAAAGGGGAACCTAAAAGGGAAAGCACCAATCGTCTGGACAGAGGGCGGGAAAAGACAATGTGCTGGCCGACGCACTATCGCGAGTGGAAGAGTTGTCACCCGCATTGGATTTCGAGGCATTAGCACGGGCTCAAACAAACGACGATTAGCTATCTCAATTCCTGGAATCAGATTCTGTTTTCAACTTAAAGAAGATAACAATCCCAGTAACCAGCGAAAATGTGTACTTCGATATCTCTATGCCTAATGCCCGACCTTTCGTCACCAGCGAATTGAGCCGGGCAGCGTTCAATTCCCTACATCAACTATCACACCCCGGAATTAACGCCACGGTCAAGCTCGTAACTCAACGTTTCGTGTGGCCGTTGATTAAGGCGGATTGTAGGAGGTGGGCCCGGCACTGTTTTGATTGTCAGCGAGCCGACATACGTCAGCCCCCAAAGGAAACTTTACATTACCCAGTGGCAGGTTCGAGCACATCCACATTGACCTGGTGGGTCCACCGCCTTTGTCAAGAGGATACAGGTACGCTTTAACGTGTGTGGACCGTTTCTCGCGCTAGCCCGAAGTGATCCCCGTCGAGAATATAGAGGCATCCGCCATCGCAAAAGTTTTCGTGACCGGATGGGTATCCCGATTCGGAACTCCGTTGCGAATAACAACTGATCAAGGCAGGCAATTCCAGTCACAGCTTTTCATGGAACTTAACGCTACGCTAGGAACCAAGCATTTTCGGACGACCGCTTACCACCCCGCTGCCAACGGTCTCGTGGAAAGATTCTACGGTCAACTCAAAGGCGCCATTCGATGCCAAGTTACTGTAAAATGGGTCGATATCTTACCCGTGGTTCTGCTGGGCATCAGGTCAGCCTGGCGAGACGATCTCTCGGCAACGACAGCGGAACTAGTGTACGGCGAACCTCTCAGGGTCCCGGGCGAATTCTTGCCACCTAGAGAATCGAGCGGGAACGAGGAAGGTGCGACGAACTTCAGCCAAGAATTGAAAAAGCACTTTCAACAGCTTCAATCGATCCACGGAACCAGGCACGGAAGTAAAAAGATCTTCGTCTTCAGAGACCTATCCACCTGTAGACATGTTTGGATTCGCTTGGATGGAGAACACCACGCGTCGTTAGAAGTCCCATACGAGGGCCCATATCCCGTCACCAACCGGAACGACAGGACGTTCACCATGGAGAAGAAAGTGAAACAAATTACCGTTTCAATCGACCGCTTAAAACCAGCCTACATCCTATCCGGAGAGGAACAACGCCAGGAGGATCCACAACGCCCAGAGGCTAGGCGGAATGCTCCAGGACTCCAGCAGACAGACCCTACTCCGCCAACAACGCGATATGGGAGACGCGTTAGATTCCCTGGCCATTTCCATTCAGGTCTCTAGTGTCGTGTTTTCCAACCCACGGTCAAACACTGGCAGGGGGTCTCTGTGGCGAACATTTGGGCGCCAGAGAACTTCCCAAACCTTCACAAAATCACTTAAAAATAATCTTAAAACAACTTACGCTAAAATTTTCATTCTTCTCTGTTGCGGTGTTGCTTCGTTTCGTTTTCTTTTCGGTGTTGGCTCTGGTACAAGTTGATACTCTCTCCGGGATGTTGTGTATTTCTTTGAGTACACTTCGGGATCTTGGGTTAGCTTCCGTTACAGATCACTTTCACTTGTGTAGGTTCGCGTCACTTAGAATTAAAATTCACCAGTCCCAATTTTCTTCGATTAGTTTCGAGCACTGTTGAGACGAAATAATACTACTGACTGCGCCAGTTAAGGTTCTTTCAATAAAACCAAAGTTTTAAAAAGAAACTTTAAACTAATTTATTAATTTTTTATTCAAACGACAATGACAATGTGACGGATAAAAAGTAACTTAACTTAAAACGGCGTCGAGGTGTTTTTATAATAAATGCTTATTGCTAATCCCTGATGAGTTAAATGGAAATAACGGAAGTTTACTTGTTGAGTTGAAGAAATTATAAGTTGAGTCTTTATGATTTATTGAAAATAAAAAACGCACGCCGATTAACAATCGTATAAAAACACACTCAAGATAATATCGCATTCTACTTAACCTACGCCGGTCGCTTCACACAATTAATCTATACGCTAACGCCATCTTTTAAACGTTGCCTCAAACAAATTATGTCATTTAAAACTTATAATCTAACAATCCCTTCTCTAATGAGATGTCTGGTGGTACAACATTCTTCCTTTATTTCCAGGAATTTAGCATAGATGATGCTCCATAACTCGCGTTTTACGTAGTCGTCGTCGTTAGGTTTTTAATGATTTATTGAAATCCCGTTTTATTGCGATTTTTTGAATTCTATTTAATCCACTTCCGACTTCTTCTTCCATTTAAAAACATCGTTGATTGCAAATCAATTCTCATAATTCAATTTTTAATGCTCAACCAACGATTCCGTTCAATACTTTGCTTCCTGTTTGATTTAATTACTTCAGTAGTTGTGGTTAAGATGTCGAAAACGCTCGGTTTTTACGTTGTAGAAACGTATTTCCGAAAATATCAGTTTTGGCCCTCCGCGCAAGGACTCCGCGGTCTTGCACCAACAGTTTTGATTGTTATAAACGTAATTTGGATAATTTACCCGTTTATGATAGAAATTGCAAGTGGGTGTTGCATAAAATTACTCGAGATATTTCTTATCATTGTTCTCTTTATGATTTTAGATTATAAAACGAATTTTGAAAAATTATTGTTTCACGTGGAGTTAACTTCGATGGTAATATTATTCCTATCTTTCAATATTCAATTATTGCGGTGTCGACATCATTTAATCCAAACAACCGATTTATTGAGCGATTTCAGCCAATTTGGTGTTCCGCAAAGAATCAAAGTCATTGATAAAAACGTTAAGAAGATGTTTAAAACGTTGCATTACAAAGGACTTGTTATGGCGTACCTAATTACGTACTCTATTTGCTTTGAGGCGAATTGCGTTAAATTTAAAAATACTAAAAATTGTTTAATGTTTGAATATTACATCCCATATCAATTAAAACACTGGCAAATAACATTAATAATGTTATTTCAAATGTATACAATCAGTACTATTATTTATGTTATCCTCGGCATACGAATATTGTGTAGCTATTCAGGGGAATTATTGGTTGCACGTTTACAACATCTTATTGAAATAATTGATGGTATAAAATTAACGAAAAATGAGAAAAGAAATTTAAAAAAATTGAAACGTGTTGTTATGTATCACCATGAAATATTTAGGTATTCTAATCTTAAAATTTATTTTAATGTATCAACGGAGAAATGTTAATGATTTCAGAATGTACCGCTTCGCAAATACTTTTTACACCTCTTTTCTAATTCCTGCAAAAATTTTTGTTGCAATTTGTTTATCTGTGGGGATCACTGAATTTGTTCTGGTTTGAATCTTTATTTAATTTGTCCTATTTAATTAATACAATTGTTTTTAGAGAAAAGATTTAGCTAGTTTTTTCGTAATTGCAATAAACTTTGAGGGCTTCTTTCGTAATCATACAATCGGACAGCAACTTACTACAGTTGTATGTATAACTCATCTTATATACAGGTGTTCCGAAACTCAACGTTAAGCTTGACGTTGAATTTCTGTAAACCCTGTATAATTTTATAAAAAGATTTTCTTGTTTTAAATAGGCTGGTAGTGTGGCGGATGCTGTGTATAATTTAAATTGGTACGAAGCAGATGTATCAACACGAAAAGATGTTTTAATTTTACTTTGTATGTCTCAGAAGGAAATTAAAGTGGAGTTTCCTGTGGTTCGCGAATTCTCGCACGCAGCGGCTGCAAATGTAAACATTTTTGTTTTGATATATTTGGTGATAATAAATATTGCTATTTTTAAGGAATGCAAGAAAGTGTACGTTTTCTTTAATTGGATATTAACAGTTTTGAAGAAAAGAAACTTTTAAACATTTTCATCACAAAATTATGGTACACGTTTAAATGTTTATTACCAATTTTTATTATAGGAATAATAAATTAAACAACCAATTTTAACGTATTTTATATTTTAACAAGTTTTTTAGTTATAAAGCGAAAAATGAAGCAATTTTTTATTTTATTAATAGAATCCACATTAGACTAGTTAGTTAATACTCATCCAGACTATAATAGTCAATTATTTCGTTGGTGTAGTAGGCAAGGGGTTAATGTCGGGTGACCTCGGCCGATGCTACTTGTGGCCGAGAAGCAGCAATGTGATGATCAGTTTCATCGGAAAATCTGTGCAGGAAATGATGACAGCAATGTGATTATCAGTATCCGGTTGACATAATTCTCCGTTTGCAAGTGACCTCGCCTTAATTGGATAAAATGAAACATATCTAATTTTAATCAAACTCGGGGCTGCTTGAGGCCGAGGCGCAGCAATCTGATGAACAGATTCATCAGAAGCGCTTAATAACGAATATAACGAATATGTACTGGAAACGATTATAGCAATGTGTAGTAATTAAAAAATGTAATAAAATCAAACATGGTAATTGTCATCGCAATTGTGGCATTGAATTATTTTCTAATTGGGAAATATCACAAGTGTACAACATATGTGGGACTGATCCCAACACTCTTCCCTGTGGTACTCCAGCCTTAATTTCTTTTTACTCAGAAGAATGTATAATAGCTTTTTCCTGTTTCAATTTGAAGAATAGTAATATTTCTGTGAAGAGTTTGTATTTCTATAAGAATTAAGTTTGTGTATCAATCTTTATCAATACCAATTATCAATACCTCTCTTGGAGGGTCAGACGGATGCGTGGAGAACGTAAAAACTCACACAAGGAGTGATGATATGGGGTACAATATATTACGGTAGCAGTTCATCCTTGGTCTTTATTGATGATAACTTAAACGCCGCTCGTTATATTGCCAATGTGCTAGAACCCGTTGCGCTTCCATATTTTCAGGAGCTGGCAAATCCCATTTCCCAACAGTATAATGCGTGCCCTCATACGGCAAGAAGCTAACATTGCCGTCCTCCCATGGCGTGCTCGGTCGCATGATTTGTCGCCTATTGAATATGTATGGGATGAGATCGGCAGGCGACTGGGTAATTTACCACACCCTCCAGGTAAATTACAAGATCTCCGGCTACGGATTCAAGAGGCTTGGGTTGATATAGCACAGGCAGCTATAGATCCCTTGATTGATAGCATGCCACGCCGACTAAACCAGTGCATTACAAATCGTGGCGGAGCAAGTAATTATTATTATTTTAACTTTTTAGTAAATTAATTTTTGAATAAAATTCTATCGCATTAACGCTCGTTCACTCGACGTTTCAAAATTTGAAATAAAACAATAATAATAGTATTTCTGAAAATAATTGCAAAGCCTTCTAAGGTTTTATCATTAAAAATTCATTCCAAATTTCGATTAATAACCGAACAGCTTAACAGTTAGTGTTTGCTTAATTATTCTTTTTATCAAAAATTATTAAATTTTCGAAGAACATTAGAAAGACAAAAAAGTTTTAGAATAGGTGTGCCCTATTATGAGCTTAACTTATTCCCCAAATTTCATTTTCCTGGTGTTTATAGTAGTCGAGAAAAATAATTAAAACAAAATTTTTCGCCATTCTTGGAGGGGCGTAGCTCCCCAAGGAAGCTGAAGTCGCCAATAGTTCATACAAGAAAGTACCCTTAATATTCGTTAAAGAATCGCCTCCTGAAGTTTGGAAACATCATTCAGATACACCCTGTATATTAATATAGTGATTATTCTGTGCTTTCGGTCAGTAATTTTGGGGGAGCCCGGTTTTGATTTTAGAATTGAAAAAAAATGTATACGCTTTTTCCTCGTCAATTAAGTATTTTGAAATTTTAAATCTAGCACCAACCTACATTGTCGTTTTATTTAATTCTTTTAATCAAGTATTTAATAATTCATAATAAACCGTTTAAATAGGCTGTGTAGACGTATGACTGCTGTTCAAGCCGCATCTATTAGTAAATATCTATGGTCAAGGACACTTTTATTTTAAAACTGTTGGTAGCCTTGCAAGAATTACGCACAAAGACGCTTGCCGGAGTTGTAGACATATTGTTTTCCGATCTCAGATATAGTGTTGTGGTGGTGTGTTCACAGTTTGTTATAATAAAGTCTTGATTAAAAATGGCTTTACTAGCAGAAACTAATGAGAGAATTAGAAGAATGGAAGCGCTAATGCTCCGCTGGGAACTGCCTTTTCAACAAGTATTCGGTCAGAGAATTTATGGACCTCCGAAATCATTTAAGAATAATCCACCTCCGACAGGGTGGGAAATATTCGTTAGTAACATTCCTAGAGATGTCTTCGAAGATGAAATCATCACCTTGTTCGCTAATATAGGTAATTTGTACCAAGTGAAGTTTATGATGGAATATTCTGGAATGAATCGTGGATTTGCTTACGTCTTGTTCTTGGATCACCAAACCGCTCTGTATGCTATTAAAAAATATCATGGGTATTTAATTAAAAACGAACATAGGTAAGAAACCAGCTATTCTTGGTATTAGTATGAAAATATTTTTAAAACATTGGTCATTCTGTTGTAACGTTCGTTTTGAGCATTTAATTTATTTTGTTATGGTTTAGTATTTTCTTTATACAGAGTGTTTCACGTAATTGGTACGTTAAAGCTATTTTAGGTTCCAATATTCATACAGTTTTTAAATTTTGGCAGTAGGGGTTAATCGTCCGAACTTCGTTACACACAACTTCGTTATATTAAATGGAATGCTATAGTTTTTATTACACCTTTTAATTATATGCGAAATAATTGTTTTCGTTTTCGAGTTATTTTGATTTTAATTTTTTTTTTGGCAAATTTACCAGCACTTTTCAAAGCCACATTTCTCAGCCAATGTTCATTCAAAAAAGCAATTGCAAAATAGTCGAACATTTTAAACGGCACGCCCCATATTTTATTATACTACAAGAACGGGAATTTAATGCCTATACCTATGTTTTGTAGTTTCCCTCATATTGGGAAATTTATCAAAAAATTCGAGAAATGTCGGAAACCGCTTATATTTCTATTAGAAGACCATAGACATTTTGATAGTGATTATTTATTTTTATCTGGTGGGCGCTGGTTAACAACAAAAGGTATAATTGAAGAATAGACATGTCGCTTAAAAATCGCAATTTTTTTTTTACCGGTGTGAAATCGCTCAAATAAGCCGTTAAAAATAAAAAAAAAGTGCGTAAAAGTGAAAAACCTACCGAAAAATAAGTTTGAAATTTCGATGTGACGTCACGTTTTGTGACGTCACGAACCTTCCTTACGACGTATTTTTCACAACACAATGGTTAAAATTGGTCCGCTAAATAATTTGTTCCATATCCACGTGCACAACACGAATAATGTAAGTAAAAATAAATCATTTTCTCAAATTTAATGATAAAATTAACAACTTGTTAGTATTATTTCGAGTGATATACCTGCTCGTGAGGATTAGGTATGGAGAAGGGTGTGGGTCAAATATTGGTATAGTCTTGTTGAAAAACACGTTACATTCGGATCCACCTAATATACTGATTTATTTCCGAATTTTGTGTAGAAATTAGATTTTGAATTAGATTAATTTACGTTTAAATTAGTGAGAATTTCCCAAATGTCGGATTAGATATGGAGAAGGGTGTGGGTCAAATATTGGTATGGTCTTGTTGAAAAAAAAGCGTTACATTCGGATCTACCTAACTTACTGATTTATTTCCGAATTTTGTGTAGAAATTAGATTTTGAGTTAGGTTAATTAACATTTAAACAACTGCGAAATGTCGGGTCGGGTTCGGAGTAGGGGGATGGTAAACACACGAGCAGGCAGATGGTTAATAAACGCGTTTTAGCACGTTTTAGTCGTTATGCGTCGAGAACCAAAGGTGTTTCACCCGAAAATATGCGTTATAAGACTAAAAAGTTGTTAATTCTTTCATTAAATTTGAGAAAATGATTTATTTTTACTTACATTATTCGTGTTGTGCACGTGGATATGGAACAAATTATTTATAGGCCCAATTTTAACCATTCTGTTGTGAAAAATACGTCGTGACATGGTTCGTGACGTCACAGATTGTGACGTCACGTCGAAATTTTAAACTCATTTTTCGGTAAGTTCTTCACTTTTCCGCACCTTCTTTTTATTTTTAACGTGTTTTTTAGGCATTTTTACGTCGGTAAAAAAAAATCATCGATTTTTAAGCGATATGTCTATTCTTCAATTTTTCCGGGGGTATTGTTTCGTTGGGTGTTAAATCGGCTCGGGGGTTACTGGTTCTACTGGTTGTAGCACGTGGCCGTTCTCTACCGATCGATACACGCGTCATCGCGCATGCGCCGCTTATCCGGTCCGTTACAATTTTATATTAAAAATTTTTGTTTTGTTTTTTTATTTATTTATTTTTATTTTTTTTGTTTTTTTTTTAATTTACTTTTTTTTTTGTTTTTTTATTTATTTTGACTTTCCATTTGTTTTTGTTATTGAAACTTTTATTTTTATTAATATGCCTTTTTATATTTTTTTGACGTAAACTAACAATACGACTTTTCTTTTCTGTTGTAATTTTCTTGCTGTGGCTAAAACGGGCTTTTTATCAGCACATAAATCATAGTATCATAGTAGACCTCCCATCGCCCATGTATTCGGTGAATGTACGCGATATAGTATCCCACATACGCTGCATCGGTACTAACATATTCTATTACAGAAATTAGATGATAAGTTAACTCGCCAAACATTAATGTACAAGGAATATCTGAAATGCAGAATACCCCTGGCCAGTTAGTATAACCCATATTTTCTGCAAGCCGTACCAAGTGTAAGCATTCAATGTTAATAAAACGATGATTGCCGCCCGTGACATGTGACGTTACGTTATTACATCTACATTGAACGCAGCTTTTATAGTGCGAATCAGATATCTTTTCATTGATGGCACTTTCAAGAACCTGTATACCCTGCTGGTAGAAAAGTTCGGTATTTATGTCAACAATGGGAACATTATGAACAATGCAGTTATTGCAGTCATTACATTGCTGATTGATTTAGTATGATGGTTCGTCAATTAGCTATTTTTGAGCAATCAAATCACTGATATTGAACTGACAATCAATTTGATTGCTGTGCAAACCAAATATATTGCTCAATAACTCCGATCGTTTTTATAGGTTTTCATTGTTGCGCCATAAATTGAAAATGATTTTATGAAATCATAAAATTCATTTTTTGAAGTGGAAATATATTCATGATAAAAGACCCAATCTCGGTATCCTGCCAACACGAATTGTGCTAAAACATGCGTTTGTAAAAGTCACATCTTTTTTTGCTATACGAACTCGTCCGAATAGTTGTCCGTTTTTCAATATTGGTAAATTTACGTTTTTACTTGTTTTTTCAAGGATGCTTTGTATATCTGGACAAGAAGTTAAATATTTTGCACGTTTTGATGGTTTTCTTTTTACTTCGTTTTTTGAGTGATTAACGTTACACATGTGGCTCCGCTTTGATGGATTATCATTCCACGTATTAGATTTTGACAAATTTTTTCCGCCCCAGTTTGCTTCCTGATATAAACATGAATATTTGTTCTCAAAGCTTGCGGTTGTCTCAATTTCCTCAATCCTTGACGTAGTCACTGTAGGACAATCATCCGTGTTTTCAATTTTATGAGATCCTAAATTTACCTTAAGACTTGGAATCGGCGCATCATCGACTTCCGCTGGCATATTTAATTTTAATATTTCATCCGACATTGGCATTCGACCTTGGAAATGTATGTGTTTGACCAAAAACTTATCAACGCGACGATTTTGTCGTTAATTAAAATTAGATGTTTTAACTTTCTAAAATATTCTTCACTTGATGTTGACGTTGCAGGAGATCCATTAGGTGCCAACATGCACGTCCAAAGAGTAAAGTGCTTACTGATTCTTAAAAGATGTTTCGCAAAATCTGGACACCAATAGGACGATCACCGGTTTGCGCGATTAATTTACAATCACATTCTACGTTTTTCAAAAATGTACTTAAGCTTCTTAATGTTGCAAATTCAGACTCTACTAAGTCAATATTTATAATTCATTTCCAATATTGTTTACGTCGACATTTATTTTACTTTGTATTATAATATTAACATCTACTATATCCTTTTCAAACTCCGATTGAAATATGATCCTCCTATGAACTCCGATGAATTAATCGTTTGTGGGCCCCATAACAACCTTCATTTAGATTTACATCTTCAGTTTCTGAGTTTCGCTACAGTTAAGGTGTCAAGTAACAGGGATTCAAATACTTTGAAAGTAGTACATTTTACAAGAAGTCCAATACAGCGGAGAAAGAATTCTTTGACACGTGTAGAAGTATTACAAAAACATTTCCAGCGAGTGACAAGCTTGATAAGGTGAGCAATATCAATTCTAATGCAACACCGTGGACAGATCACATGATTCAAATGCTAAGAAGACAGCATTTAAAAGCGCCATGGCATAATCGGTCACAATTTCGGCTGGACACGGCACACCAGAGCGCAACCAGTCGCGTAACCAATAAGTAAGCAAGGTTGAATCGTGTTTCTCCGAAACCATTTGGACCACCGGTAAGATTTTTGAACAACATGGAACTACACCTTGATGAAGATACGAGATTGGCGAACTTGATCCATCCGGTTTTGTTATTTTTTTTACAATCGAACCTGTTACATCAATACTTAGGCTACTCATTTTTTCGCGTCTTTGCAGTGCTTTTTTTAAAGGAAGGTTTGGTCTGGAGTCCAATACATTGCAAAAAATTTATCGTTGAATAAGTAGATCCATTCTTTCTTTAACCAGTGCGGTAATTAAATAAATTCGAAAATTGTGTTACAACTGGTTTATTTTAAGTTTAAGTTCAACCTGACATGTTTCGGTCTTTTAAATGACCATCATCGGAGGTATCGTAAAAAGGATGTATGAGGAACAACATACAATAAAGTAGATGACTGCTAGCAGATGTGTGTGTCTAGCAGTTATTCTACTTTATTGTATGTTGTTCCTCATATATCCTCTTTACGATACCTCCGATGATGGTCATTTAAAAGAACGAAATATGTCAGGTTGAACTTAAACTTAAAATAAACCAGTTGTAACACAATTTTCGAATTTATTTAAAAAATTTATCGTAGCCAATCTCCCGAATAGTACCTGTAAATTCAGGACGATATTTCAATTCATGCACTGGTCGGAAAAGGTCAATACCTCTACGAAGTCCTAATTCCCAATCAGTTTCTGTTTGATTTGCCTTACGTAAAACATTTTCGTTGCGGAAATGCGCGGGAACTTTATCTTCTAAATCCATAAGTTCATTAGCCTTCTATCTACGCCAAGCATAGGTTAACTGAGCAGTAACCTCTTTTGCTACTCGTTGTCTGAATACACCTCGTAAATGACGCTTTTTTTTATGTTCAATATTGTTTGTATCACTTGTTGAAATGTGCATCGTGATATGGT